TCTGCCCCCCCGCCAAGCCTGGGTCGTCATCGGATCTCACCGTGTAGCATCAGGCGGTTGAGGGCGAGGTGTGCGGGGTGCGGGTGTTGGCGGCCGAGGCAGGAAAAGGAGGCAGAGCGGAGACCCGAGACCCCCTCTTCCTCCTTACTGCCGCCCGGGCCGCACGGCGGAATACAAGCCTAATGGTAATGGATATGTGCGGTGCGCTGGGTGGGGTGGGGTGGGGTTGGTTTGCGTTTTCCGCACGTGTGCCCCCTGGTGGTGCGGAGAGGGAGGGGGGGGGGTGCGGTGGGAGGTCGCGGTTGCTGCGAGAGGCTCGGCCGGCAGGGGCCTAAGTGCTTGGGGACGCTTTCGCCTCATTTGGCCACATTCAAAGCTGGGCGCGATCATCGTACATAGCCTGCCCCGCCGTCCCACCCCGCCCAGCCTCGCCTTGCCCGACTATAAGCCGGCTCTGATGACACAACGGCTCTCGTGAGGCCCGCAGGGGGGAGGGTGACTGTGCCCCCGCCCCCGGCCTGGTGGTGACGCGGGGGCGGCTGGGGGGCGGCTCCCGCTTGGGGGACTACTGTGATAATTTCCAAACGCCACGCGGACCCTAACTTCCGTCGCGCCGTGTATGTGTGTGCCTCGCGGTGCCTCCTCCGCCTCTCGTATCGTATGTGCGGGGATCAGCACCGTGCCCAACTCTACCAGCGCCGCGCCCCGCCGCGGATACGCCTCTGACCTGGGGCTGTTCGGGGTTCGGGCACGGCACTCGCTACCTGGCGCACCATACACGGCCGCTACAAGTGTAGAACCATAATATGGTTTACAAAATTAACAATTACACAGTTATCAAAACTAAATTTTAGTTATCGCTCTTGTTTTATTTTGCCCCAACTGTAAATTAACCGCCGCCCTTCTTGTTGCAGGTGTGTCCTGGTCTACTCTCGTTCGTTTTGGGGGATTGGGCGAGGATTCCTCCTTACCCAAAGAGGCCAGCTGACTTGAAAGTAACTGAAATTTTCGATCGGGGAACCATCGTTTATTTTTCCGTCACTATACACCTCTACCGCACAATCGGCACGCCCCGACGCGCCCCGCCCCGCGCAAC